GGTTATATCTCACAGCTGTGAGATCAAGCTCCATACCAGGCTCTGCACTGACTGCACAGAACTTGCTTGGGATTCTCTCTCCCTCTCTCCCTCAAAATAAACTTTAAGAAAAATCAAAAAAGGTAAGCCCTACTAATTCCCATATCACATACAAAAGAATTAAATATAAGCAGTGTGCCTAAAGACAGAGGGAGGATGGACTGTAGAGCTAGGATTCAGAACTAGCACCCTTCGCCTAACTTTACTGCCTTCTGCAGCAAAACTGAATGTTCATCCCATGGAAAAATTAGGGATCAGTCTCTGACTGAAGAGAATGGGGGGGGGGGGGGGGGGTGCGGAGAATAGGACTATTGAAAACAACAGCAAAAGGGGAGGCAAACTCACAGTTTTTAGTTCCATCAGAACTTGCTCATCAACTCCATCATCCAAAAAGATGTCTCTCACATCATTAATAACATCTTCAATCACAGATCTGTACAATTTAGGCTTTAAAGGAAAAACAAAAGACTTGAAAAAGATCATTTTTTACATATTAAATGTATTAACACATTTTCACAAATTCAAAACAAATACAATAACCATTTTCCAACTATCTAAAACTTCTTTTAGAAGACACACTTTAAAGATCTTGCCATCTTAACAAACCTCATTTGCTTCAGTTAAAATGAATTATTTTAAAGCTGCGTATTTTTAAAAAAAGGCTTAAAGACTACTTAATGCAATTTGTATAGGGAAGATCCTTACACATACAAGGTCCACACAATTTCCAGTTATTATTTCCTATGTTGTTATATTCAGAGCACCTAATGTGATCCAATAATAGCTTTATGAGTTGCTATGTCTGGTTCCTATTATTCTTTCCTTTGTTTGACTCCTGTTATATCTCATAGCCTCCTCATTAGGCCTTAAACTAGAGAACCTTCATCCTGCAGTCATTTGCGACATCTGCAATCTAAAAAACACTCAAATTTAAATATCACCTAATTTCTATTTTTTGTTAACCAGTCTGTGCCTTTAAGCTACACCTACACTGTTCAGGTCTCAGAAGTCCCAGAGAAGAAACAAGGCACCCAAGATTTCTTTCCTTCAACTACTGCCCAGATGATACTATGAAACAGAATCACGGACAGCCTCGATGTTCATTTTTAAAATTATTATTACTCTTATTGTTGCTATTTCTTGAGAGGGGGTGGAGGAATAGATGACTTCTATAAAGTTCCCAGAAGAATAAAATGAAAACAGATGTGAAAGCACTTTCACAAGTGTATTTTTTAAAAATTAAAAGGTGATGGACAGTAATTTGCCAAACCCACATCCTATTTTTAACATTTTAGGCAATAAGTTTGCACATGTGACAAAACTAGAGGTGCCTCATTATAAATCCTACCCATTATCACACACAGTTGAGATTATCAGACTTTTTCTTTTAATGTTTGCCATTTGTGATTTATATCCTGCTTGAGGTAAAAATTACTGGTTACTGAATAAAACCAAGGGTTTGCTTTCATAACCAAAGCGCAAACAAATAAATGTTTCATTAGCATCTGAATCAACAACACATGGTAACAGGAGAACCCTCTTAGAAAATGTGCACTGCCCAAAATATAAATAATGAGCTCCTCTGTACAATTTACCTCAACTATTAAAAATTATTTGTTCCTTTTCACTACAACCAGAAAAACAATTCACATATCTAGGTTCTCACCTTTGCTATTCCACTCACTATCCTCCTTTATTCTGCCAAATCTGCCTCTGTGAACTTTAATCACATGCAAAGTGTGAAACTCTACAGGGCTTCCTTATTTTTAACATTCTGATTCTATAAGGAAAGTGTAACTGACTACAGGTATCACCTTATCCACAGTGACTTAACCACTGAATTACTAAAATAACATTTAAAAAGCCATTTCAATTTAAGTCATCAATGATCCTTAAAGCATTATAAAGAGGTGGTGGAACTTTAGATTGGTACTCCGAATCTTAAATTGATGATAAAAAATTATTTTTTCAGCACACTGAGTGTTTTGGCATTTTTTGAAGTCAATCACTCCTAAAAATCTTCAAGCTTGGAGATCCAGGCATTTACAACTATAAAATTTGTTTTCTTCACGTACTCTCCGTTTAATGAAACAATTTTGTATTACGATTTTGTTTAACCCACAACCTGGCCATTTAAAGGATTTTTAAAAGCACTACAGCTGAAAGGAAATGGGTATTCTTCATAAAGTATAAACACAGAGAATAATTTAGCATTATTGTTCACAAGTTGAGAAGCCCTCAAGATACGCATGTTTTTAAAAGCGCGGGGGTACAAACGCACTATTTGAAGCAAATTCCAAGTTGTCATTTAAAATGCTAAACATTACTTGAGGCAAAATTTTTGCCTTTTACAAAATACCGAAGTAAATTAGGTTTGTCCTGGTTTTGGAAACACAGATATTCCAAACTTAAAAGCTGGTATGTGAAAGAGCCAAGATAGTGGCAATACCTAATGATTAATTAATTAGAAGTTTCCTTTCAAAAGTGCTAGTCCCCTGGGGTAATATTGGGAAATAAATCGGATTAACTTCTGTATCAGATATTTATATGCAATGAAAGAGAAAACACTACTTAGAATCTTAATTTTTTTCAATACGGTTTGCACTAAACCTCTTCACTCTTACTATTTACAATTCCCTTATACATAAATGTACCGTGGACATAAGGTCCTATGTTGATGCTTTTAGGCACTTAACTATTCGAAAGGCTTTGTGTCTCCAACACTTAATAGAAAAACATGACCTATTAGAAGCTTTGTTTCTAACATATTTTCTGAATACGTGATGATCAAAACACTACCAAAGACCCCTGCAACCAAGTTAATGTAGGCATTTTTTTTTTAAATTCCCGACAACGCACGCATTTTCCAATACAAAAACGATGAGACACCTAAACTACAGTTCTCTTTAAGAGCAAAAATAAAAATAAAATGAAAAGAAGGGACCAGCAATTCTACTCTCCCCTAACAAAGACAGGAAATCCTGGCTCCTGCATCAAAACAATAAAAAACTTGGGGCTCTGAAAGCGGCCCTGCTGGGTGCGAAATTAACAGGGCAAGGAAAAGACCTAGAAATAAACTGAGCTCTGCACGTTCCTGCCTCTCGCCTCGGGAGCACGCACCTCCCAGCCCCGCTCTCAGCAGCTCTATTTAAAGCCGGATCTAGTGTTTAAATGGAGAGGCGGTGACGTAGGCCTGAAAAGCACCTTCCCATCCTGGCAGAGTCTATATTAGAGAGCGGCAATGGCTCTATATAAACAGGGCAGCCAAAGGGAGGAGGACCACAAGGCTCAGGGACTGAAAAGCAGGGTAAGCGGCCGCAGCCATGATGGATCGACCCGAGTCGCCAACGGTACGGAGTCGGGCGGCCGCGGGCTTGTCTGCGGCATTTGGGACCGGGCAAAAAACGTGTTTTATTGTCAGAATAAAAATAAGAGTGGGGTGGACTAGTGATCATATTGCGTTGGTGACTGAAAAGGTTATTTATGTGTCTGCTTTTTGCAAACCTACGTGATCTCAATTAACCAAAAAGGGTCGAATGGGGAGAAGTAGGCAAATTTCAAGGCGAAAGCGGGGGCACTTTGACCACTGTAGGCTTTTTTTTTCTGTTTGCTTTGGTGCTTTTGCTAGTGGAAGATACGATAGGGGTTTTGCTTCCCCTTCGCCATTTTACCGATTCGGAAGGAACCGAGATAAGTGCTTTTCAACCTTCGTCCTTTTTTTTTTTTCTTTTAAAGAAATATAAAATGGCCCCAGGGATGGCTCCCTAAGCACAACCGCCAGCAACACCCCCAAGTAACCCCCGAAAGTAGCCGTTCACCTTCCACCGCACTGAAGCGGACCACGGAGGGTCTTGGGGACTCGCCCAATTCCCCAGACGCGGTTTTTGTTCTGAGGCTGCTCCGGGAGCCCTTCTCGAGCCAGGGCGGCCGGGCCCGTTTCGGGGGGGGGAAGCGGCGGCTTCCCACCCTCCCTCCCTCCCTCCCGGCGGCCGGGGTCTGGGGCCAGGGCCGCGCGCTCGCCCCGGCCCAACGGCCTTCGCGGCCCGGACCGCCCCGCGGCGGCCCCAGGCCCCGCCGGCGCCCCCGCCCTCCCCGCCGCTGCCGCCGCCGCCGCCGCGAGCCCGAGGCGCCCCCCCGCGCCCGCCGCCCCGGCCCGCTCCGCCCGAGGCGGGAAGCGGCGGCGGCGGCCGCGCGGGCGGCTGAGAAGAGTAGAGGCCGGGAGTCGCCGCCGTCCCCGCCCCCGCCCGGTCCGGCCGTTGCTGCCGCCTGAACGAAGCCCCCGCCGGCCACCAAACCACGTCCTTACCACGGTGTTTGTATTTGCCGAGTTCGCCATTTCCACACACAACACAAACAAGAGGGGGGCAAGCCCGAGAAAACAAGATAAAAACAAAACCAAAAATGAAAAAAAAGAAAGCCAAAACACCCGGAGGGTGGCCCGAGCCACCGCAAGATTGGGGGTAAAAATTTCAAACAAAATCGGATCCTGAAAGAGTAGAGAGGGGAGCGGTGAGAGGAGGAGGAGGGGGGCAGTCCTCCCGGAGCTAAAAAACCTCGAGAATCGCCCTTAAGAAAAAAGCCACGACCCTCGTGGGGTCCGGGGGGCGTTGCCCGCTCCCCACCCCGCGCCAAGGAGGGAAACCACCACCGGTCGCCGCTCCCCGCGCCGCCGCTGCCGCCACCGGCTGCAGCTCCAGCCGTCCGGTCCGCCCGCTTCTCCCCTTTATATAGTGAGCCAACGAGCTGCGCGAGCCGCCGCCGCCGCCGCTGCCGCCGAGAGACAGGGCGGAGGGGGAGGGAGGGGCGGAAAGGGCGGGGGCAGAGGTGGGCGGGGCTGAGCGCGAGACACCGCGAGAGCCGCGTGCGCAGGCGCGCCGGGGCGGAGGCCGCCCAGGGCCGCGTCGTCACGCGCCGCGGAGGGCGCTGGGCGGGCGGAGCCTGAGGACTGGAGTAGTGAAGACGGCCCACAGGCTTCCCAAATCTCGCGTGATCACGTGGTGGCCACACAGGCGGAAGTGTCCGACAGCTTTTTTGGGGTAAGGGTCTTTTAAAGCCTTGCTGGAAAAGACGTGAGTTCTAGTTGCACTTGATTTCAAAGCTACCTGGGATCCCCCCTCTTGTCAGGTGTTCCTGGGTCTCTCTGAGCTGGAAGAGCTAAGAAATACGGAAGGATCGCTGCCGGCTGCCTCGCTAGCAATGGCTGCGGAGGAGGACCAGTCACGTGATCTCGCTTCCGGCCCCGGGCGCTCTCGGACTCCGGTCCGAGTTTTAAATGCGGAGTCATCTCAGGGAGTGAACTAGTCTTGTACTTAGAGCTCCGAGGCTTTCGATTTCCTTGTGGAGGGTGGGCCCATCGCCTGAAAAATTGTGTACGTGTTTCTAAAGAGGAGGAAAGTGGATTTGAGCCCACTGTTAACACAGTCTATGATTAGTAACCCCTGAAACTGGCTGAGTGGTCCCCACCGGTAGAGCTAAGTCTCTGGGTTTTAGTTCCTTCAAGGTTCGGCCACCTAGTAGACCGTGTACTTTAAGTGATTTATTACGGCAGTGGAATTGCCAAAAACACAACAACAACAAAACACAAGCCACCGGATTATGACAGCTCGATAACGCTCCCCCCTCCGTTTTTTTTTTTTTTTTAAAATACTGCTCAAATTCTGCGGTTCCTCGTGGCCTGCGTGGAGTGACTAATCCCTGAAATTCCTGCCCTGACCCACCAAGTCTCGTGGCCTCTCGCTGTGAGCGATCCGGCAGAAAACGTCCATGTCTTCGAGTGTAATGAAATAGGCGTTTGCCGTGCTCTCCTCAGGCAAATCCCGCCTGTATGGCAACATTTCACGCAGAACAGAGAATGCTCTGTTTGGAAGGCAGAACTCATAGTACCTAATTCTCGTGTCCGTAGGAATTTTGAGAGACGTGGAATGTAGTCTGGACAAGTGAAGGAGTTTATCCTCATAAAGCAACACGAAATGTCAAAGTTACATGCCACAGAAAGCAAATTTGGAGAATATCAAAGGCACCGTACCAGAGGAAAATTCGCGACCTGCCAGGACCTGAAAGGAAGAAATTAGAGAAAGCAGAGGCCATTAATACTCAGAAAATGGGAACTTGTCCGTACGTTTGTGATGGGCTGAGAATATCAGTTAATTTTGAGATTTCTTTTAAAATCTCCTGATCGTACATTCTTGCCTTAACACTCAGTTGCATTTCAGTTCCCTGCACGGCTGCCTTTTGAGGGCACTTAAAGGAAAAAGTCATAGAAAAACAGTGTTCTTTGATATATAAAAATAGGGTTCCATCAGTATTTGTAATTCACTTAATATTCAGGTGACCATTAGCCCAAAAGTTATTCTAAACAGTACCGACCCTGGTAAATTTCATGGCTTATTATTTTAAGAGGACTTCTTTTTACCGCCTTACGTATACATGCTACCAAGTAATTTGCACATGGAATCCCTCTCCTTCCACCTCATTTTCTTCTTTAACCATCTGGTATTAACAAAATGATAAAATGTTTTGCCATCAATTAAGATTACGACCACTGCATACAGAACGTAGGTTAGAATCTAGGAGATTTACTCTCCATGGACTTATTCCCAAGGGGATTTGTGACAGCTATATTCTGACTGTGACCTATGAAGTAAGAAAATAGTTTGGGGGGCAGAAAACCCAGCCCTGCACGCCTTATGACCTTCATACTTCCTAGAGGCTCTGAGATGGCCTCTTTTTACACATTTTAAAAGCACTTGGCTAATAATTTACCTAGATCTCTTCCCTCTCCCGCCGGTGTGCCTGGCACCTAAGTAACCACCATGTATTATTCCATTCCAGTTTACTGCTTTCTAATCCTCATTTAGTTATAATACACCTCCAATCACTATATATGTGTGCCAGTTTAGTTTCAGGAAGAGATATTACCTGATCTTGCACCAAAATAGTAGGTGTGAATAATTTGAAAGCTACAGCCGTTTAATTCACAGAACAGGAAATTTGTAAACAGAAAGCTCCTCTCATGTAAGACTAGATTTAGCATTATATTTAAATTGTTTCTATATGAACTTTTTTGGAAGGCAGGGGAGCTGAAATAACTTTTCTGATTTTAGCAGCTTCTTGCACCATATATGAAATATTTATACTGGATTATCAGTTTGCAAACTCATACTTTGTAACAACTATATACTTAAACAGGTAGGTACATAATAGTGCTCTTTCTTTGTGATGAATTTTTTTTTTTTTTTTTTTTGGCCAAAATGTCCTGTACTGGAGGATAAAAAGTTACTTCTTTCTTTTAATGTTTTTTTCTTTTTAATTTTTTAATGTCTTTTATTTTTTATTTTGAGAGACAGAGACAGAGGGCAAGTGGGGGAGGGGCAGGGCAGAGAGAGAGGGAGCCAGAATCTGAAGCAGGCTCCAGGCTCTGAGCTGTCAGCACAGAGCCCGACAAGGGGCTTGAACCCACAAGCTGTGAGATCATGACCTGAGCCCAAGCCTGACGCCCAACCGACTGAACCACCCAGGCGCCCCATCTTTTAATGTTAATATTCTGCCTAAACCACTGGATAACTGCCAAACAAAAAAAGCAAAGGAAAAATTTAGTGCATAAATTTTAATATTAAACAAAATGACACCAAACCTTGTATGTCCAAACATTAAAATGTTTTACTGTTCCAATGACTGTTTTAGCAACCATGCCAAGAAAGAAAAAAATATAAAAAGATTGCTCCTGGAAATTAACTTGAATTAAAATCTTATTATATAACTTACCTTCAGTTTCCATGTTCTTAAATAATAGATCTTACTAAAGCTAATGAAATGACATATTTAGGCATCATGCAGCCCTTATACACTCAATAATTTGGGGCACTTTTGGAGAATACAGAAGTGAAGAGGAAAGATCATGTAACTCAAGCTTACCAATCCTAATGAAAGCCCCTATTGTAAAGTATAGTGCATAGTTATAGCATTCATTCAAGATCTTAGAAGCACTGATGTATTTCAGTCCTACCAAAAAAATAGTAATTCAGAATTCACCTATTTTTTAGGCTTTTGCAAAAACAAAAAACAAAAAAACAATAACAACAAAAAACTTGTTGATTTCCATATGCAGTGATGTTTGATGTAGTGTATAAAAAGAAATTACTGGCCACACAAATTACTTTTATACATGAGGTGGAGATTTAAAAAAAATTTTTTTTAATGTTCTCTTCCTCCCTTCTAACTTAGTTTAAAATTGCTGCTCCATATCTTAAAATAGCAAGTAACTGGCAATTCTTTTTGAATATGGAAATATCAGTCAGTTAGTGGTGGCTTAGCAAAAATAACTGTGCAGTCAGGTTTGACAATGCCATTACTTTACTGTGTCACCTTCTGCAGTAACTCAGCCTCTCTGTGCTGATAAAATAGTAACCAGCACCTATGATTGTTAGGAAGGTCAAAGGTACTAGAAAGTGCTTTGATACGTATTGGGTGGATGTTTTTATTATTAATGGTAAGTATATTAACAGCTACATCAAAGTAGGGGGAAGGTCTTTTTAACTCACTTTGTAGAACAGTAGTATAAAATTTTAATAATGATGCCAGTGGTTGATGATTAATTTGTCCGCAAAATAAATTTTGTTACCTTAATTTTTTTTGTAACTTTAACTTTGTTACTTAATTTGCTAAATTTTGATACCTTAAGTGGTGAGTATACAGTGTAACTTGTGTATGTAAAAATAATATATGCTGTCATGAGATAAGATTCCTTAAGAGAAATACTGATTTATCATGGAAGTTAATCAAGTTGCTTGGTTACACACGTGTACAATGAGATCTAGCAAATTACAAATGAATTTACCCACTGACTCAGCAATGCCAATTCTAGGACTCTATCCCACAGATATAGTAGCAAAAATATGAAAAGGTAAATATATGCCCAAGACTTCATTATGGGACTGCTTATAACAGCAAAAGAAAGGAAACATTCTTATATGTCCACATAAGGTTTAATAAACCATGGTACTTGCACACAGTGTAATACTTTGCAGCTATAACAAGGAATGAGGAATATCCATATTTACTACTATGGAATAATTTTCAGTATAGAGTGTTAAATGAAAAAAAGACGTAGAGATAAGCATTCTTTGTATGTTTTCATTTAAGAAAAGAGGAACTATAAAGATGTGTGTACATATATACATACTTGCTTATGTTAAAAAAAGGAAAGATAAGCCATAATTTTTTTTTTAAGGAAGGTTACATAAGAAGACAAGGAGAAAATAATATGATGAGGACAGGAATAGAAACTAGGCTTATTTAAATATACTTTTTGTATTTGACTCTGGAAACATCTTCACTTAATTATAAAATAAAATTAACTTAATTATAAAATAAAATTTATAAAATAAAATTGACTTTAATTAGTCTCAAAACTGAAAGAAAATAAAGCAAATAAAGCAAATAGTATATTTTATAACACACAGAGAGGAACCTTTTCAAGTGACTTTAAAACACAGTAATTTTTTTTAACATTTATTTTTGAGAGAGACAGTGCAAGTGGGTTAGGGACAGAGAGAGAGGGAGTCAGAATCTGAAGGAGGCTCCAGACTCTTGGCTGTCAGCACAAAAAAATTTTTGCTCTTCTCTGTATTGTTGGTGATAATGTTTGTATATCTATTCTGTTGTTTTTTAGATGTGAAATATGGCATAAATAAAATGAGTAATTACATGATATTCTAATTACATCATCTCAATTATTCTTAAAAACCAAGATTCCCAACATGAGGGAAAGGAAATACAGATGTAAGATAGAAGTAGATAAGTAGAAATTCTGTAGTCCTGAATCTGAATTAGAAGTATCATGATGCAGGGACACCTGGGTGGCCCAGTCTGTTAAGCCTCCTACTTCAGCTCAGGTCATGAAGTTTGTGAGTTTGAGCTGTGCTGACAGCTCAAAGCCTGGAACCTGCTTCAGATTCTGTGTCTACCTCTCTCTCTACCCCTCCCCCACTCATGCTTGCTCTCATCTCTCTGTCTCTCTCTGTCTCTTTGTCTCTCTCTCTCTCAAGAATAAATGAACATTAAAAAAATTTTTTTAAGTATCACAATGCATTTGTCTTATTTTTTTCACCTGCCTCTAACGAAGCCCAGAAATAACCTAGTAGCACGGAGTATACCTAGTATGTAGATTATGGTATTTTGAGACCAGCACTCCTTGGAGAAATGCCTTATTCTGATCCAGGTCAAGAGCAAGAAATGTCTTTTTTAAAAAAATAACAAAAACCCAAACCCAGTATATTCTAGCTTATAAAAGACACATAGGTCTGAAAGAACCTAAACACAGTGACAAATCTAGTAACAGTGAGCATCTCTAGCTCCCAGATTATGATCTTGAAATGCCATTTTCCACTAAAAGGAATCAAGGCTCCTTGCAGATATGGCTGACTCCAGGACTAGAGCAAGAAAAATATCAGTTCGAACCAAATGAAATTGCCAATTATTGCCCAACCTAATATAAAATGAGTCTAGAATATCTTTTCATACAGATAGCAAGGAAGATATATTTGTTTCTCCAGGGCAGCTGTAACAAAGTACCACAAACTGGGTAACTTAAGGTCACAGAAGTTTGGGGCGCCTGGCTGGCTCAGTCAGTTAAGCGTCTGACTTCACCTCAGTTCTTGATCTCATGATTTGTGGGTTCGAGCCCCGCATCGGGCTCTGTGCTGACAGCTCAGAGCCTAGAGCCTATTTCAGATTCTGTGTCTCTCTCTCTCTCTCTGACCCTCCCTTGCTTACTCTGTCTCTCTCAAAAATAAATAAAACATTAAGAAGAAAATTTTTTAAAAAACCACAGAAATTTATGCTCTCACAGTTCTGGGAGCTACAAGTCTGGAATCAAGGTGTCAGCAGGACAATGCTGCCTCTGACACTCTGAGGAGAGTCCTTCCTTGTTTCTTCCCAGCTACAGGTGGTGGCCAGCAGTGCTTCCTGTCTTTGGCTCAAGGTCACGTCACTCCGCTCTGTGCCTCCTTCTGTACATGGCATTCTCCCTGTGTTTTTACGTTATTTTCCCTCTGTGTATGTCTGTCTCTGTGTCCAAAGTCCCCCTTTTTTGTAAGGATGTCAGTCATATTGGATTAGGGCTTATTCTAATGACCACATTCTAACTTGACTTCCCCTGTAAAGACCCTGTTTCCAAATAAGGCCACTTTTGGAGGCATTGGAGTTAGGATTTCAATGTCTCCTTTTTGGAGGACACAATTGAACCCATGAGAGAAGATATCAAAGACTGTTAGTATCATGTCAAAAGAATTTAGTAGCCAACATGAAGAGGCCCCTACTGGCACCAGTAAGGCTAGAACTTGCGGCAAGTTGAAGAACATCAAATATTTAAATCCATTAATATATAATATTGCTAAAAACAAAACATGAAAATTCTAATTGGTCACTATTGGAGGTTGCTAGGGATTAACCCATTATTTTGAAGACTGGTAAATGGAGAAAAATAATCAAGCATGTATCTAACCTTTCCTACATGAACTGTACCACCGAACACCAGATAGTAGATGTAGTTAGTTGAATGGTGACTCCAAAAAGAAAATGACTGTGTCCTAATCCTCAAAACCTGTGAATATTACTTACTGGGAAAGGGGTCTTTACAGGTGTAATTATGTCAAGGGTTTTGTGATGAGATTATCCTGGATTACCCTGGTAGACCCTAAATCCTATGGTAAGTGTTCTTATAAGAGATATGTCAGGGCGTCTGGGTGGCTCAGTCAGTTGAGCATTGGACCTTGGCTCAGGTCACGATCTTTGGTTCATAAGTTCGAGCCCCACATTGGGCTCTGTGAGACAGCTTAGAGCCTGGAGCCGGCTTCAGTTTCTGTGTCTCCCTCTTTCTCTACCCCTCCCCTACTTGTGCTCTGCCTCTCTCTCACACAAAAATAAATAAATATTTTTAAAAAGAGAGATACATGGAAGTAAGTAAAAAGAAGAGGAGAAAAGGAAATGTAACCACAGTGGAAGAAATTGGAGTGATGCAGCCGCAGGTAATGTGTAGCCACCGGAAGTTGGAAGAAGTAAAGAACAGACTCTCCCCTGAGAGCCTCTGGGGGGAATGTGGCCCTGCCAATACATTTATTTCAGACTTCTGTCCTCCGCAACTGCAAGAAAATAAATTTCTGTTGGTTTTAAGCCATGTTCATGATTATTTATTAAAACAGCCTCAGGAAACTAATACAGTAGATGAGAGGAAGTTTCTTATGAAAGAAACATTCCAGCTAGGGGCGCCTAGTGGCTCAGTGGGTTAAGCATCCAACTCTTGATTTCAGCTCAGGTCATAGTCTCACAGTTGGTGAGATCGAGCCCCTCATTGAGCTCTGCTCTGTCAGCGTCAACAGGGAGCCTGCTTGGGATTCTCTCTCTCCTCTCTCTCTGCCCCTCCCCAGCTCCTTCTCTCTCTCAAAATAAACATTAAAAAAAAAAAAAAAAAGAAGACTTCCAGCTAATAACCGAATAAAGAATGATAAAAATATCACCATTTGGCAATCTCTAATCAATTTAGAGATGGAGGCATGATGCACTGACATCTGCCAACATCACAAAAAAGGAAATGACCAGAGGCATATACTTCCTGATAAAGAACGTGCCACCACCTATAAGGTAGTCTTACCTTCATGGCCACCACCCAAAAATATAAACCCGGAACCTGACTAAGCTTGTAGATCCAATTAACAATTTACAAAAAATACAGAGGGTTCAAGGATATATCAAACTACATATCAGGAATACAATCAGCAAAATCCAGGCTCTGGGAAGCTATAAGACAAATGGTCCAATTTCTTCAATAAATAAATTCAAGGAGAGAGAGAGGAACTTAGATTAAAAGACGATTAAGAAGGATGCCTGGGTGGCTCAGTCAGTTAAGTGTCTGACTTCAACTCAGGTCATTATCTCATGGTTTGTGAGTTTTAGCCCCACATCGGGCTTTCTGCTGTCAACACAGAACCTGCTTTGGATCCTCTGTCCACCCCCTCTCTGCCCCTACCCTGCTTGTGCTCTCTCTGCATCTCTCTCAAAACAAACAAATAAATAAGCAAAAACAAACAAATACATAAATAATTTTTTAAGGCACTTAAGAGACCTATCATTTAATCACAAAGTATAGAACTTATATGGATCCCAATTCAAATAAACTGTAAAAGAAATGACAAATCAGAAATTTGGAAATTTGTACACTTACTAGATATTTGACGAAATTAAAAAGCTACTGAATTAAATGAAAATGTTCATGTAAAGTATTAAAAATAAGTCCATGAAGCTTTATTTTACAATCAGCGATGGTTCTTTATCCAGATATTTTGTCTTCCAGTCAAAAGACAGTTGGTATTCCCAAGAAGGCCTGGTATTGTTACAACTGTTTAATATTAAACACTGTTTAATTACATAAGTTTTCTCTTTCTCTGGCTTTTGGACCTCAGCCACAAATGCCTTATCTTTTTTTTTTTTTTTTTTTTTTTTGAGGGGGGGGGGCGCAAATGAGTGAGGGGCAGAGATAATTCCAGGAGGGCCAGAGGGGGGAGGGAGGGAGAAAAAAGTGAGGCTCACCTGATGTGGGACTTGAACTCTTGAACCTTGAGGTCATAAACTGAGCCAAAGTCAGATGCTTAACAACTGAGCCACCCAGGCGCCCTACATATGCCCTATCTTGATTCACAAGTTGAACAGCTGTGATTTAGGACAATTAAAAATGTTGAAAACTAAGGTGCCCACTCTGATGTTTTTATGTAGGTATTCTTCTAGTGGAGAAATTATCTTTGATTTACATGCCAACTTTATCTTCTTCATATACCTTCATCCAGATAGAGCCTTCTGATATGACAGGTAATTCTACATATATAAGTTTTTTTCATTTTCTTTCCTTCTTTCCTTCTTCTTTCCTTCTTTCTTTCTTTCTTTCTTTCTTTCTTTCTTTCTTTCTTTCTTTCTTTCTTTCTTTCTTTCTTTCAAGAGACAGAGCGAGAGCGAGAGAGAGGGAGAGAGAGCACGAGCATGTGTACTAGCAGGGGAGGGGCAGAGCGCCAGAAAGAATCTTAAGCAGGCCCTACACCAGAAGCCAAAACAGGGCTCTATCCCATTACTGTGAAATCATGACCTGGGCTGAAATCAAGAGTTGGACACTTAACCAACTGAGCCACCCAGGTGCCCCTCTTTCATTTTATTATTATTATTATTATTATTACTTTTAGTAGGCTCCATGCCCAGCGTGGGGCTTGAACTCATGATCCTGAGATCAAGAGTCAGATGCTCTATCCACTGAGCCATCCAAGTGCCCCTACATAGATAACTTTATAATAAAATACATCACAGGGTTCAGTCCTGTGAGTTCAAGGCTTCAGTCGGGTGACGGCTGGTCTTCCTTTTCATGCGCTTCTGTGAGAAAAATCAAGGGGTGTAGCTCAAACACCTTGTTGAAAACAAGGCTCTGGATTAATGTTATTGGATGTTTTTTTAAAGTAATGAGATAGCCAGTGGGCAAAAAATAATAGATGCTTAAGCAGGAAAAATGGAGATGAAAAAAAAAAAAAAGATGAGGAATTTGCCATTTTGTGTTCCTGCCAAGCTAAGAAGCAATAATAATAATAATAATGGATTTACTTTAAAAGCTTTAATCACATGGTATCTCCTTTAAAGCTTGTAACAGTCCAATGAGATAAGTAATATTATCCCTCTATTATGAATAGGAAACTGAGACTTACCTTCAGCAGTGACTTGCCCAAGGTCATATTGCTGTTTACTTGTGAATTTTTAGAGGTACAAGTTCAGGACTCTTTCTACCTGTTTTAGAAACAAGATACTACCAATCCAGGAGAATGCAAAGGCTTTGAATCAAATCATGTCACTCCTTAAGTTTGTCAAGTTGTCAAGTATATGTTAATTATGTAATGTGGTAAACTTCATTTGGGAAACAAGAAGCTCTATGCAACACTGAGACCTGGAACCAAGATTTTGTCCTAATTAAATATAATTGCCTTCCCAAAAGTATCATCAAGAAGCATTTATTAAATAATTTAAATAACTGATTTCTTTGTTTTTACAGCAGTTGAAAATCATCCATTTCCCATTTTAAATAGCATCTCTCAATTACTCAATTCAATTGAATTACTCAGCTCAATTCTTGAATTTGTCAAGAACAGTCCTTTTCTAGCAAGATTGTCTATAATAAAAACATTTATGTCTAGCTTTATCCTTACATCTTATTTATTTTTTTAAAAAAATGTTTTAATGTTTTATTTATCTCTGAGAGAGAGAGAGAAAGAGACAGCATGAGCAGGGAGTGGCAGAGAAAGAGTGCGATACAGAATCTGAAACAGGCTCCAGGCTCTGAGCTAGCTGTCAGCACATAGCCTGATGCAGGGCTCGAACCCATGAGCCGTGAGATCATGACCTGAGCCGAAGTTGGACGCTTACCGACTGAGCCACCCAGGCGCCCCTATCCTTACATTTTAAATGCTTTCATAAAACAAGAAAATAAAGGATGACCATTTTTAGAGGTATAACATTAGGAAGGGGAATTCTTTCTATTTTACCTAATAAGCCAGTGGTATAACTCTGAATAAGTGGCTAAAAAAATAAATTAGGCGTGTGCTAATGTCATGGCACAATAAATTAGAAGAGGTAGTGGATATCAACAGGTATAGTGGTATAACAAGTATCCAAGCATGTGAACTTGGGTGTCAGGTAGACCAAGATTCTTGTTCTTGCGCTGACCATGGGCAAGCTACCTCATCTGTGAAGTGGCAGTTCAGTAATATTACCAACTTTGAGAATTATATGAGGATTAAGATATGATCCATGTGAAGCCCTTTAGCACAATAATTGCCACAAAGTAGGTCCTTAGTAAATGTTGAAGACTGTAGCAACAATAATAATATTGATGGTACAGAAAATTAATTAGGTTCCATTTTGTCTTTGTCTAGATCATGTTGAACAGTGGAGTGGAGCAATTAGAAATTAGAACATACTTCTGAACTGAGTTCACCAAGGAAGCGAAGCTATATATATCTTCTGCACATGTAAGTTTGTTTTTTTTCCATCTGTAAAATTAGAATCAAAGAAGGAAGCAATTCCAAGTTTGAGATGAAACATATACTTCATTCTAAAGTAGTAAATTTTTCACCAGTTTCACTTAGGTTAAATCATTTGAATAACTGATTTCTGTTTCTACATCAGTTGAAATCATCTACTTCCTGAAATGACTCAGACTATTTAAAACTAGAAGCCTTACATAAATCTCTAGTCAAGAGATACAGTTGCTCATTTGTCAACTGTAGAATGCAATACTATTCCTCAATAAATGTTAAATCGAAATGATAGATTTTTCAGCCTTCAGATATACTATAGTGTGTGATAAAAGACAATCAATACTGCTACTTGGCTGCAGGATGACAAAATACACCTGAGTCCAGATGGAACATAGAACCAGGAAACCACAGTCCCTTAGAGTGATGTTTCATTTCTTCTTTATAGATTTTATAGCCTCCTTAGTAATACATAACTATGGTCTTCTTTTCTTTATTTTTTTTTTAATGTTTTATTTATTTCTCAGAGAGAGAGGAAGAGAGGCAGCGTGAACAGGGAAGGGTCAGAAAGAGAGGGAGATACAGAATCTGAGGCAGGATCCAGGCTCTGAGCTAGCTGTCAGCACACAGCCTGATGCAGGGCTTGAACCCACGACTATGAGATCATGACCTGAGCTGAAGGCTGACACTTAACTGAGCCACCCAGGTGCCCCATTTTAGTGTTTAGTTTTTGAGAGAAAGACAGAGCATGAGTGGGGGAAGGGCAGAGAGAGAGGGAGACACAGAATCTGAAGCAGGTTCCAGGCTTTGAGCTGTCAGCACAGAGCCTGATGCGTGGCTCCAGCTCATGAATCGCAAGATCATGACCTGAGTTGAAGTTGGATGCTTAACTGAAAGAGCCTCCCAGGCACCCCATGGTCTCATTTTCAAAGGTAGAACTCATTACATAATTGCTTCTTAATTTTTCTCTAATTTTAGTGAGCAACACAATTTCAAATCCCCTCTTTCTGTCTCCCCCTTTCCCTTCTTTTACTTTCCTCCCTCTCTCCCTCTCTCTTGCCTTCTCATTGCCACCATTTGCCTTGGCTTTTCTTTTTCATTATTAATTATTGTTGTTGAAGAGAATGAGAGAGAAATTGAGCACACATGTGCATGCATGAGCAGGGGAGGTGCAGAGAGAGAGAGAGAGAGAGAGAGAGAGAATCCTAAGCATGCGCCCAATATGGGGCTTGATCTTACAACCATGAAGTCATGACCTGAGCCAAAATCAAGAGTCAGACACCTAACCTACTGAGCCACCAAGGCACCCCTTTTCTTCCTTTTTAATACAATGGTTACAGAATACCAAACATAGCCTCTTTTCAGTGACCTTAATGTATTTTCATCCTTCCATCATTGGCTTAAAAATCAAATCAGAATTTGACTTTTTAAAAATGGATAATGATTATCAAATACAGACCATTTTCAAAATCTCAGTATGTTCTTAGTCTCCATATTTAGCCCTCTTAATTTTATCCTTAACCAATCATGACATTCAAAAAATATTGAGGAGGAAAAAAACACAACAAAACAAGAAAAATTAGATTACCAAAAGCCATCAAATAAAAATATAAAAGATGAAACCCATGTATTCTGTCTTTCTGATCATACCTCTCAATCACACGTGTTTTTCCTATTTCCACAAAGCATCTCTGGGTATACATATGTAGATAAATATGACTACACTTTGTTTTTTACAAAAAAGGAATCATGCCTTTAATTTTATATACAATTTGCTTTTTCATATACCCAGTATATCACAGACCTCCTTCTAGACCAGTAAATCTCATGCCATCTCAGGTGACTTTATTTATTTTTCTTTCATAGTTTATTGTCAAGTTGGTTTCCATATAACACCCAGTGCTCATCCCAACAAGGGCCCTCCTCCATGCCCATCATCCCCTTCCCCTCTCCCACCCCCATCAGCCCTCAGTTTGTTCTCAGTATTCAAGAGTCTCTCATGGTTTGCCTCCCTCACTTTCCCCAACTATTTTTTCCCCTTCCCCTCCCATGTGGTCCTCTGTTAATTTTCTCCTGTTCTACATATGAGTGAAAACATATGGTATGTCATTCTCTGCCTGACTTATTTCACTTAGCATAACACCCTCGAGGTCTATCCACTTTGCTGCAAATGGCCAGATTTCATTCTTTCTCATTGCCATGTAGTATTCCATTGTATAGATAAACCACATCTTCTTGATCCATTCATCAGTTAATGGACATTTAGGCTCTTTCCATGATTTGGATATTGTTGAAAGTGCTGCTATGAACATTGAAGTACCTCAGCTGACTTTAATACCACCTCTGTGGGTGCATAAAGGAATAGTTAAGCTATTTTCTTTTGTGCTCTTTTAAACATGGCTGCAACAATGTCCTTGTGAAGGTAACTATATATTACTTTTGCTATTATCTCTGGAACACAGAGTCTTAGAAATGGAGTTGACGGGTCTTAGGATTTCTACATGTTAAATACTAATTGACAGTCACAAGCTATCCACTGACAGGTATCCCCACTAGCACTCTGATTTTATAAAGGTCCCACATAGCTGTCCTGTAAACTTGAGACCAACCTCCTTACTCATTCCTCCTGAAAAAGGAATTTTTAAAAATTTGTTTCTAGATCTTTCTTTACATTACATACTCACAATGTCTTTTTTCACTTACCTTTTTCCTTTCTAGACAAATCCAGCTCCTGAAAGCTTTAATTCCTTCCATTATTTCCCCCATCATTGTTTCTCTATATTTATTTTTATAAATTACTTGGAAAATGATCATATATTGATACAATTACTTGTATAGTTTGCTTCAACATACATTCTAAAGAGAAAGTAAGACAAATGTTTTCAAAATGTTCTTTGTCCTTGGCTTATTTTTCTTTCATCCAAAAAGAAAGACTAAAGCTGTCTCTAATTCCCAAGATTTCCAAATATTCCCCTTTCTAAATTTTGTACACACTCCCATTTAAAAGAATGTATTATGATTCAATTTTTGCATGTCTGATTCCCATAGACTTTTCTTCCAATCACTCAACAAATGTTTATTGAGCATCAGGCCTTATTCTAGGCTCTGAGGGCACAGTATAAGACAAAACAAACCAGATTCCCTTCCCTTATGAAGCTCATGAGACTGGTGAAACAGACAACAGACAAACAAGGTAATTGAGTAAAATGTTACATGTTAGGCATTGGTAGAAATCCAGGCGAGCAGAGCGGAGGTAAGAAAGATTCAGCATAGGGGAACCTAGGTGGCTGAGCTGATAAAGCCTCTGACTCTTGACTTCATGTCAGGTCATAGTCTCAAGGTGCGTCAGATGGAGCCCTGTGTTGGGCTCTGTGCTGACAGTGTGGAGCCTGCTTGGGATTCTCTCTCTCTGCCCCTCCCCCACTGGGTGCACGTGCTCTCTCTCTCCCTCTCAAAATAGGTAAAGTTAAAAAAAAAAGAAAAGAAAGATTCATCATATTTTTTAATCAGCTCTTTTCAATTGATTTTTTTAATGTTTATTTTTGAGAAAGAGTGAGAGAGCACACACAGGAGAGTGGAGGAGGGGCAGAGAGAGAGAGGGAGACAGAATCCCAAGTGGGCTCCATGCTGAGCTTGATGTGGGGCTTGAACTCATGAACCGTGAGATCAGGAGCTGAGCCAAAATCAAGAGTCAGATCTTTAACCCACTGAGCTGCCCAGGCACTCCCATTATATGTTTTGAAATGGGATGCCGTAAGACTTGTTTTGGATAGAACATAAGGTCTTAAAAAATGAGCAGAGAGGCCTCACAAGTTTCTGTTAGGTAACTGGGAAGACGTAGACGTTGGTGCCCTTTATGTAGGTTGGGGAAAATTGAGGGAAAGACATGTTTAGATGAGAAAAGTTCTGTTATGGTTAAGTTAGATGTCTGTTGAGCAGTCAAGTGGAGAATCAAATAACCTGGTGAATACCAGTTTAGAGCTCAGCAATTTGACCTAGAAATAAATGTCTGGGAATCATCTCGCATATATAGGTACTTACAGCCATGGGAATGTATGAGGTCCTGCGAGGAGCGAGGAGCGTAAGGGAAGAGAGTAGAGGCATTCTGATGCATAGCGAATGGACCAAAGTGAAAGCCAAAAAACAAGACTGGGAAGGAGTTGGCAATGATGGTAGCATATAAACCAGAAAAACAGTAGTGAGTGTGGGGGTGGGGGTGAACACTAAGGGAAGAGAATCTTGCAAGAAGAGAATAGTTAAAGCTGTCAAATGCTGATGAGAAGCATATAAGATAGAAAAGATCTTAGATTTGTCAACTTGCAGGACATCAACAAAAGCCAGTAAAGTGTAGTAATGGAGATGGAAGATAAACTGAAGTCAACTGAGAAGAAGTGAGAAAATGGTGAGAGCAAATCTAGCTTCTTTATATCTCTATGATCAGAAATAGCAATCAGCAGTCAGAACACAGATTCCCCATGTTTGGAGGGCAGGGTCTTTTGTGTCTACTCTGGCTCCTGCAAGTGCATGCAAGCTGCTGCTGGAGGAGGTACGGGGCTGCCTGCCACAGGGCTGGGAGGTGGGGGATGGGTAGCTGCTACTGTGCTAAGAGCTGACTTGACTGAACCTAGCTGCAATTTACGGTCCAAGCCTTTGCCTGAAAGTTGGAAGCCTTCAATAGACTCCAGAGTTCCAACATGGTCATATCCCACAGATTCTGCCAAGGCAATTGAGGTCTAGGTGGGGAGACAGGTTCCTGGTGCTTTGACTCCTCCAACTTCCCAGAATCCTTTCTGCAAATCATTTTCTGAAGGTGGAATTTATTAGAAACTATTTCCAAGCTGCCAGGAATAGTCAACAGGAAAAAAAAAAACACCGTAATTATATAAGAGAAATTGCATATGATTGCAGTCATCACTCTTTGAGAAGGGCCAGTAAGGATAGGCTTCAGAGCAAAAAGGGAGCTCTTCATCTTTGTTGGGAACAGAGAGCTTCTA